GCTGCTCAGCGCTGATTGGCTCAGTTAGAATTCTCAGGGGGTGGGGTTATTTGAATAACAGGAGAGTTCCCAGACCCCTTGTTTCCCATAAGGAAGCATGGCTCTGGCTGATCAGGCTAGCACAATATGTAAGAATATAGTGAGTATTTTACAGTGAGAAAATCCCAAAAGAGTCTAATGTTTCAGTCATTTTGGAAGGAAGGTTATACTGAAACATATTTCATATCCAGCTGGCTGAAGGGATTGTCAGTTTTTCTCCTTTCACAACAAGGAAGGAGGAATGTAACTACTGTTACCATCAGCGAGTGTGGGGTTGCCGTGTCTCCTGCTGACAATTGTAATTTGGCGATGGCTGGCAAAAAGCTCCAGTTATTTAAAGTGGTTGCAGTAACCTTTTTTTTTTTACCACAGGGTGTTGTTTTTACTTCATTTAGAAATGAAGTAAAACGCACTTCAGACATATAGAAACAGAATGGTGGATTTCCAAACAGGACAACAAATCTCTGAATTTACAGAGGAAGAAAAAACTCAGACTTTGATCTTAAAACAGATATTTTTTCAAAATTCCAACACATTCTTTTTTCTTTTAAGCGGCCCTGATCTTCCACCTTAGATATTTATCAAAAAAAAAAAAATTCCCAAGCAGTCCTGTAGATGCAGCTGTAATGCGTTGAAGTGGACTGAGGGGCAAAGCGGCTCTTTGGATTCTAAACTTTGACGGCTCTGCTCTAGAACGAATTGGTAACAGTTTATAAGGGTCTATTCATTAACATTACTTAGTGCATTATTAAGTGTTAATAAACAATCCCTTTATTGTTACCATTATTAAATGTTTAGTGTCCTTAAGGTTAGGACCTGGGGAGGGGGGGGGGGTCTACCCAGTAATACATTACATAATATGATTAAGCAGTTAATACTTTAATTAATAGCTTATTAATGCACTAAGTAAAATTAATAAAGGGACCCATGTTGTTAAGTGTTACCAGTGAATTTAAATTTGACCACATAATGGATGAATTAAAAGATAGTTTGAAAGTTCATAACTGAGACCAACTTTTGCACACTTTCACAGGTTTCTCTGGTCTTTAAAACTCAGCTTGCTCAGCAACTTTACTTTCTTTGGGGTTTGAGATTCACCAAGTGGTTTAAAGTTTGCTGCATCGGTGAGTTTTGATGTTAGCAGGTGCTTTTACGGTACATTAATAATTGGAATCATTATAAGAGTTTTAAATGTTTTAGTTGACAATATAATTACAGTGTTGGGCAAGTTACTTCAAAACTAACATTATTTATTACTTATTACCCTCATTTTAAAGTAATTGATTACATTACAATATTACTGATTTTAAAATGTAAGGCATTACACTACTTTTGCATTACTTTAAGTTACTTTCACCAAAACAACTTGAATATGAATTAGGTCATGTGATGCTCCGTGAATTCGTGACACATCCAGTGGAAGGTGAAGTGGTGTCTGAGCTAGTGTTGCTGTTAGTCAGATAAAATAACAGTTGTTTGTTAAATAAACGCAACAACAAACTACTCTCAGCACGCTGCCATCTTAGATTAACTGAGCAGGGAGTGAGCTGGTGGGGCTCCAAGCCTATTTAGCCTTGGTCCCCAAATGCCTTGATACGGCCCTGGATGTGGGACTGACTTTTGAGGGTGATCTGATTCTATCACATGTATAAATATTAAACATTTATATATATATATATATATATATATATATATATATATATATATAGCTTTTTACTGGTAAAAATGTGTATTGGGGATAAATCTACCTACTTTTATTTATTTTCAAGCACTTTGTTTTGTTTTCTTGATTTTATTTGAATAATTTCCAGCCATTCTCTCTCTAACCTTCCTGCATGCTGCATATTTTCTCAGTCTTCCAGAAAAAAATGTTTCCTAGAGTTCCTACTTTCTAACTAATCAGCCAAAGGGATCTACCGAAGGCACACACACACAAAAAAAAAAAGCTTAAATTGCGCTGCGCTCCTGCAGCAATGAGTTGAAATCACCGGGGCACAGATTATGAACTCAGCTGAGGCAAAGCACGTCAGAAAAGTACATTAAGTACAGAGAATATGGGCTGATATGAACGATCGCAGGTGAATTATTTTGTTTTGGTGGAGCGATTTTGTAAATGTCATTAGCCGTGCGCCGAGCATTTGAGCCATTACCCCTGTACAATTGTGCTGAGTATTACCATTTTCTTTCCCTATGCCTTACATTACAGCAAAAAGCAATGCATTACAGTAATTACTTTTGTACCGCGCTACTCACAACACTGATTACAGTTATTAAAAAAAATACATTTGAAATATTGGTTCTTTTTCCAAGACCTCTGTAAATCACACCTTCACCAGTTTTGGTGAATCTCATTCTGTCCTTCATGCTTATCTTGGGACACGTGACGCTCTTATGCTCCTAAAAGCTCCTCTGAGCTGCAGATGGACTCACTCGCTTGCTGAGGTCTCTGAGCTAACTACACTGGTTGTGTCCCAACCACACACATCCTGGTGCCTGCTGGTCTGACAACCTTCTTCAAAACGCAACTCATTTCCACAAAATTCATGAAGAACTGAAAAGCGTACAGCTAAATACACAATTTATTAGTCTTGTTGATCAAAGGACTGATGACAGTCTTGTAGGTGGTAACCACGGCGACCAGAAGTCCAATGATCTCAAGCACAACCCTCAGCATCCAGTCTGCTATTCTAACTCAATCCATCCATCCATCCATCCATCCATCCATCCAATTAAAAATAAAAATCCAGTCAAGAAATCAAACAATAATAAATCACAAATGTATCCATGATTACAAAACAAACACAGTTAGCTTTTATTTGTCCATTCTAATCTACTTAATAACATTAAACAGTGAGATTGGGCTTTGTTTTTGCTCATTTTGTTCGCCAACTTCAAACATTTTGTTTGATATACAAAGAGTTTGATTTGTGATCCAGTACAGCTAGTTGGTGGTGTTAAACATTGGACAGTTCTGCAGAGCCTCTGTGGCAGAGCGGTACTGGAGGACGTTGTCATGGAAACCAGTCAGCTCCTTGCGCGTACTCTGAGTACCCTTCCCCCTGGAGTTTCGGTACTTCAGAGCAAGCAGCTTGGAGCTCAGGTAGTGGAGCCACAGCACATTGGAGTGGGGGTAGTAGTCGCTCCAGTTGTTTCTTTAAAGAGAATTTAAAAAAATTAAAAAAAAATACATCACTAAAATGGTTGTGTGCTCTTAGTTTAAAACAGTGGTTTTAATTTAGATTTATTTGCTACTCTGATCAGGAAAGATTCTGAATACCAAAAATGTCCTTTAAGACAAGTTATTATGAAGCTGGTTACTAAATTCTGTTCCTGTTAAACAATTTTTTTATCTGCATTTATCACCGACCCATTCTCTTGTCTCATCAGTCTGTAGATTTCAAACTGGTAGTCTCCCTGGCCCATGAACAGCTCCTGATCATTGGAGATATCACAGGACACCGTCAGTTCATCTGGAGGAAACAAAACACACACGGTTATGGCAGATTCCACCAAAAACAGGACATATATAACAAACGATGAGGATGGGCAGTGGGGTCGAAGGAAAAATAAATACTGACCAATTTCAAGCCTGGAGAGAGAATAGTCAATGATGTGGACCACAACTCCACTGGTTTCCACACAGTGACCTGTTCCATTGAGGAGGAAGTTCAGAGTCTTCTGCTTGGTTGTTTTAACCAGCACATTTCCCCAGTGGAGGTCCCTGAATTAGACCCAAAAATGTCAAACGATTAAAAAAGCCCACGCACGGGTCTGTGGTAGTGTAATAACATCTAGTGTCTTATGCACATTATTAAGAAAATAAAGGACATTTGTGAAATTTTCATGGGAACTTAGCATCTATGATAATTTTGCATTTAGTCAAGAAATTATTGAAGTTATTAAAAAACATAAAATAAGAAATAAGGAAATGTTTGCAGAAGTCACTGATGTCAGTGAGACAATTGATTTTAAAATGTGACATTTTTCTTTCCACACCTGTGAATGTATTGCTGAGATTTCTGTCATGCATTTTATAAACTATATGAATAATGTCCTGCATAGCTTAGGACCCCAAGTTAGTGATGCATGGAGCCTGTCAACAGTGGTGTGTGTGTGTGTGCTCTCTACCTGTGTTCAAAGTGTAGTTCCTGCTCAGCAACAGCCAGAGCAGCAGTGACCTGATGGAGGATGCTCTTTGCCACTGCTAAAGACGCCAGCTAACACACAAAAAAAGTTTTAATAAAAAGATGCACGAGTCGAGCACTAAATACTTATCAATAACAAGTTTTAAAGGTCCTATATCATGCAAAATCCACTTTTTGGAGCTTTTAACCATGTTATATTGTCATTTCCCTATCAAAAACAGCCTCAAAATGTTTTTGGCTTCAGGCATTCATTTTTCTGTCTCAGCTGCTTCTTCCTTTTAGTTCTGCTAAACTCAGCTAAGTTACTGCAAAAGCCTGGATGGGGCATAGTTGCATTATCACTGCCTGCTCCACCCCTTCTACGTAGTCTTGAATCTGGACCCCTCCTCCCCTGGACTGTAAACACTAACACCCAGTGTCTCTGTGTAGCTAGTGGGGAGTTTAACCCCACTAGCTACTAGCGATTTCTTTCTTAACTAGTCAGCATTTTTGTTAATACCTAGAACCCAAAAATTCATTTTTGTCTGCAAGAGGTACAGGATCCCTGTCTAGAAGAGACAGAAATGGTTGGATTTAATCTTCAGAAGCTCTCAAGTACTGAGCCAGAATGTGATCGTTGTTTCACAGACTGCTTGTTAAACCACCGCCTGTACCAGAGTGGGTTTTCAAACATATTACTTCTTCAAACCGGCGCCATTTCAACATTAAAACCATCCGATGGATAGGCCAGTGTGGTGAGTACAACCAAAATGCAAACAGCTACGTGAATAGTTCAAAAGTTTGGTGGGTGAACGTCAGAGACAGACTGTCAGGAAAATAACTTAAATTTCAGAAAATATGACATCTCATTAGTGCCAACGGTAATATATTTATCATTTATTGTGCCCATCTTTGCTCTAGAAGGTGTAAAATAGCACGATACAGGTCTTTTAACATTAAGCAGATAAGTCACTTTGATCCTACCTTTCCGTTGCTGTGCTCCAAATCTACGCCTCCAAACTCAAACTCCAGGATTATGAAAAGCTGATTATTTTCAAAGAAATCTAAGCAAAAGAGGTAAAAATAAGATTGACACATTAAAACAACAGTAAAGAGTTTTTAACACTTTGAGCTATTTTTTCAAACTAGTTTCAGTGGTTCTTAAGCCAGAAACTGGAGAAGCATCACAATGGACCAGGAAATGCAAATAACAGTTCTGTGGTTCAGGTAGGAACTCTAGTGGGAGGTCATTACTTGAAGACAATAGCTGTTTACTGTGCTGGTAGCTGATTTAAAGGTTAGCAGTTAGCTTTTTCAGCTCGCTGACTGTTAATAAAAAGCACAAGAAGAATTTTGCTGTTTTTGTGGGCATCGTGGGAGCTGGAAGATCCTAAATCACAGACTGATAGTGACCTGGCTTTGTTGTTACTTGACTTGTAAGTAATAATATTTCTTGTTCAACAGTGTGGATCTTTTTACTTCGTGGCTTCAGTTGGCTCATATTAGCTCATTGTTATTGTTAGCTTCAGCAGGCTGCTGCAGGGTTGTTCATGACAGTTGTATTTCAGCTTCCAAACAGTAGGAGGGAGAAGTGGGAAACTTATTAAGAATTACTTTAAAATAAATGAGCACAAAGCCTGATCCTCACATGGAAGAAGTTGTCCTGTTTCTGTGACCCACCTGGTCTGTCATTCTCAGAGACTTTGCGTCGGTCAAACAGGTCCCAAGCTTTCAGGAAATCTGGTGGGTAGTTGCCTTTAACGCAGTGAAGGCTGTCAAGAGAACAAAACACACACACACACACACACATCAAGCCACAGAGACACGTAAAGGCAGACAGAGAGAGAACAGAGAGAAAACTCACTCATTGAGTCCAATAAACCCACAAGTCTGGTTCTGCTGCTTCTCTTTCAGGCTGCTCAGCTCCCTGGTAGGAAAAGCAAACCAACGCTGCTCATTAGTGCCGCACAGCTGCGCTACTTTGAAGTAGTCGTCACCACATAGAGATTGAGCCCTCTGCTATCCCCAGCAAATGAAACATAGTTACTTGTTATTCTGAGTGTCACTCACTTTGAGATGATAATCTCATGAAGAATCTCTCCAAAGTTCTTCTGATCCTCCCCGTTCACCTTCTCTTGACCCTCCACTGGAATGATCTGGAAGCAAATAATCCATCTGTAAGCTGAGAGACACTTTTAGGTTTTGGAGTCACTAAGATAGAATATCGTATAAACTTTGTAATTTGTTCATGTACATGTACATACTTTGAGAGCTACAGTATCTCCTGAAGCATTGGTGGTGGAGAAGACCTCCCCAAACGTCCCTTCCCCAATCTTCACACATCGTTTCATGCGATCAGGGAGAATACACTCCTCCCAAGGCAGAGGGCCATGCTGGCCACACTCAGCATACACCTTCTCGGCATCTGACAGATCTTCACATAGAGACTGTGACGAAAAGATCTGGTCAGGTCAACATGCAGTGGTTGTGATGTACTCTTTGTTGAATCAGGTGGTGTGTGACGCACCAGGGAGTGTTGCTTCAGAAGCTGACTGGGGAATGTTGCACGCCGAGGGGTGGCAAAGAGATCCAGGCTGACGTCCGCTAGCCTGAACTTCGATGGAGTCCCCAACGATGCTGAAGTTAACCTGCTTGGAGTGAGTTGCACTAACAATAGGAAAAACACATCAAGTCCAGTCACCCACTGGGACAGCTGTACTGGGACAGTACAGGTGAAGCGAGCAGCATCCTTACCCTTACGATGAACAGAGAGAGCCGATTTGAGTCGGCTCCAGGTGGGTGTTCTTGAAGAGAGATCAGACACCAGAGACGTCAGCATGTCGCGCTGAGCCGCTCTCATCGGGGTGGAGAAATTCATCTCAACTCCAAACTAAAACACAAGATTTGAAATCATCATCAGCCTGTAAGCCATTCAAACTGGCTGCTTCCTCCCGGGAACTCGATGATCCCACATGTTTTGTTTGGCTTCAGCTTTAAGGCCTGAAACTGTTGAGACAGGTCCAGATAAGCCACCAGGTGGGGACGTTATGTGGTAAAACTAAACGTGTCTGCTGGTGAAAGGCAAAACAGAAAAACATGTTGAGGTTTTGAGACAAACATTAACTCATAAAGCTGTTTTAAGAAACCGAGGTGATCCCAGAGGGTTCAGGCTAAGGCAAGTGGGACCTTTTTTCATAACATAGAAGCAGTTTTGTTTTTTATGCGAGGAGCTTTCCAAGCTTCTACATAAAAATGCAAAATAACACAATTTAAATATTATCCAATGATGCAAACTCTTTGCTGAGGCTTGTGAGGGTAAGACTATCATACATATTCCTGAACGAGGGAAAAGTCCAGATTGCTGCTTTAATCCAAAACACTCGGGAAAACAAATTAGGGCTGGGCAATAAATCGAAAATTTACTGCTATCGAAATTTCTGACTCTTATCGAAATAATTTTTCCCACGTCAATAAATTTGAGAATTAAAAAAACAAAAAAAGGTGTGTAGGTTGGCAACGTTCATGTCCCTTTTTTTGTACGACCTGGAGTGTGTAAAATGTGTGCAATCCACGTGACAGCCCCATCTAGTGGACAGCTTTTGTTTCTGCGCATGCCTGTAGTTATCGTCCATTTATCGTTATCGAAGTGAAATCCTCAATATATCATGATATTGATTTTAGACCATGTCGCCCAGCCCTAAAACAAATATACTCAAAATGTAAAAGATACTACACAAGCTCCAATGACTTCAAATATTTGTGATTTTCTTTTCTGTGTATAATTAAAAACTTCAGTCAGGTTTCTCACCTTTGACTGACTGTACTGCTTTGAGATCAGCTCGTTGATGCTGCAGTCCACAGGGTCGGTGTTGCCCCTTTTCTCCGCTCTGAATAGGAATGCATCATCGCAGCCTTTGTTCTTCCAGCGGCTCACACTCCTCCCACTCACACACGCCTTCCTTGTGGTCCCCATTTGCTGTTTGAACACACTCTTCTTCTTATTTTTAGGAGGCAAAGGCATCTTCTCCCTTGTGGGGACGGGTTTATAGTTTTCAGCATCTTTGTCTGAGGCCGTCGAGCCGACAGAGCTTCCATATTTTGAGCCGACTTTGGCAGCGTTCTTGTCCGTCTCAGACAGCGGGCTGATCCCAGTCTGCTCATCGATGGCTGACTCAGACACACCTGATGAAGGTTTAGGTGGAACAACTTTTGGTTTGACTGTTCTCTTTGTTCTCAGGCGTTTCTTCTTCAGCAGTGGAGTCGATCCTGCTGCCTTCTCACAACTGCTGTGTTTTCTCTTAGCTGCTGCTCTAAGAAAGGGTGGACTTCCTTCCTCTGGCCGGTTGACAGGTTGATTAAGAAATGTCTCCCGAGTTGTAGCGACATCTTTTTGTTGAGTAAAACTTACGAGTTGCTGCTGTGACAACCGGCGTCTTCGTAAAATAACATGCGATTTTACACAAACGCTCCTTTCCTTTGCTTTCTCCTTTTCCGTGAGCGGTGTTTGTGCTGCGTTTCCAGGTAGGACTTGTGTGTCCATTTGAATCTCACTTTTGTGGTCTGTGAGCTGGTGGGAGCCAATATAAATCACTGACTCCTCCTCCTCTGAGTGTGCTTTAATGTTGGAGAGTTCATCTGACTTCTCGCAGCCACCTGCTGATAGATGATTTGATTCGTCACTCAGCGAATTGGAAAGGTAAAGGTGTAAACTATTTACGGACCCTAAATTATCACTGCGTCGTTTATTTATCACAGAGTCTTCACGTTGGAGCGATTCTGCATTAGTATTCTGACTACTGTCCACAGGTGGGGTTTTGCAGGGATGGCTGTCGACTGGAACTGAATGCTCCACACAGGATGAGTACGTTGTCTGATTGCAAAGCCGAGTCACAGGTAGGTGTGCCAACCTCTCCAGGTGAATTGTGCAACGTGTGCTTAAGCATTTCTGTTTCAGAGGCTGTATTAGCCACTCTACGTTTCCTGCTGCAGATACAAAGTGGCTGTTGCTTTCATTGTCTGCGGAGAGGGGCTCTAAACTGGGAAACTCCTCGTCCCACTTAGACCCTGAGCATCCACTCAGACTTCTGGCTCCTTCACCAAGGCTACCTCTCTCACGCTCAAGAAATAAATCAAGAGACCGATCTTTATTGTTGTCTGAAAGTCCAGAAAGAGATGCGGATTGTGGCGAGGAGAGGGGCTGCCTGGTTGGATCTAGATCTCCTTGAGAACTGTTAAAAGCACCTATGCGGCTGACTGAGACAGAAGGGGGAGTGGTGACCTGATTTGGTTTAGAGTTTCCTCGGTTTCTACAGGAGGCTGCTGAGGGCGTGGAGCAGAAGATGGGTTTTCTGGAGCAGGGTACCAGGCTGTGGTCCCCTGACTCATTCAGGGATATTTCTCTGAAGGGGGCAGTAGCAAAGCTGGAAACTCCTGGAAGGTTCACCGAGCTCTCGGCACTGGAAAGACCGAACAGCGAAATAACTTGTTTTTTCCTAACAGCCTGGCGAGTCCTGATGGAACAAGTAAATTCATTGGAGGAGTCTGTGCTGATCCGGGGTTTGGCAGAAGCTGCGCACCTGCGACGAGTTACGAAGCGGCCACCACTGAAAAAGAAAAGCAGGAATCGTTGTAGACAATCTTTGGCATTGTAACGGAATGAAATGACTGTTTTTTTCCTCCTCTGCACAAGACTAGTCTGCATGAGATATGGTCTCAAGGTCTCATGCATTCCTTCTAACCTGCTAATTTTCAGCTCAACAGAAGACTGAAGAATGAACTCTTTTCTTTTAATTAATCAAAGAACTCTATCTTAATAAAGCTAATCCATCAAAGTGTTGGTCAGTAAATAAGATGTGACCAATCTGTGAAATCAAAATATATGTAATGATTTAAATTACATGTTATTTAATGAGCCATAAGGCGTGGGATTCCATAGGAAATATGAAATCCACCTTACGGATCTGTGAGGTTATTTAAACCAGAAGATTGGAACTTTTTATTGCAGGGATTAGATAATCGCTTCGTATTCACTCAGAGACAACAGATGAGAGAGAATCAAGTTTAAAAGTTAAGAATCTTATTACTAACAAATTAAACTAGACTGACTTTAAAACTAAATGTATAGTGCAACTAAAGTGGATGAGACGGTGAATGGATGACAAGTGATGTTAAATCAGAACCAGCAAATCCGAAGAAGCGATTTGTTCTGACGGGAACTGAAGGTGATGTCTTCGCATTAAGCTTTGGTTAGGAGGTTCATAAACACATGAGACACCATTTGCCGGTCTATCTACCCGTCAGGAAGTCCCCTTTAGATCAGGAATATCGAGTTCCAGCTTGACCTTCTCTGGAACCGAGCCGGTAGGAAAAGCAGCGGTTGCCGATCAGTCCAGTCTTGTCGTTAGTTCAAAGCGTTCCAGAGAAAGTGTCGGAGTGGCCAATCCTGAACTATACTCTTCAACTAAAATAACCAATGACAAGCTGAAAAATTTGTCACTATACAAACTGAGGCAACAGTTCCTTTCAGAATAAAAGCTGAACCATCAAGACCCAGGCTTGGGTCTCACCAGACTCCAACAAAGTGCCGTGACCCGGAAGTAACTCACAGACTGGACTGATCGGCAACCGCTGTTTTTCCTACCGGCTCGGTTCCAGAGAAGGTCAAGCTGGACCTCGATATTCCTGATCTAAAGGGGACTTCCTGACGGGTAGATAGACCGGCAAATGGTGTCTCATGTGTTTATGAACCTCCTAACCAAAGCTTAATGCGAAGACATCACCTTCAGTTCCCCTCAGAACAAATCGCTTCTTCGGATTTGCTGGTTCTGATTTAACATCACATGTCATCCATTCACCGTCTCATCCACTTTAGTTACACTATACATTTAGTGTTTAAAGTCAGTCTAGTTTAATTTGTTAGTAATAAAATTCTTAACTTTTAAACTTGATTCTCTCTCTTCTGTTGTCTCTGAGTGAATACGAAGCGGTTATCTAATCCCTGCAATAAAAAGTTCCAATCTTCTGGTTTAAATAACCTCACAGATCCGTAAGGTGGATTTCATATTTTCTATGGAATTCCACGCCTTATGGCTCATTAAATAACCTGTAATTTAAATCATTACAGCATTTTAATAAGAACATCAAAAAATTGACATACTACTTTCTAGAAATGCAAGAAAATACTGATGCTCTGAAATATTGTGATATATTGTGTTTTAATACTGAATCTATATCTAAAAGCAGTGTATCTATTTTTTTGACTGAGATTTTCCATGCAAACATTTACTGTATATGTTTGTGGGGTGCAATTCATACTCCAACTGATAGGTGGCAGCAGTTTGCACCGCCATTCTGATGAAAAAACAGATCTCATAACACTGGATGTGTCTTGGAAGCGTCTAGCCTGTGTTTTCCAATTAAATTCAGTCTTAAAAAATGCAATCATCCTTTTGCTTTTAGTATCTCATAATATTGCATCGTCTCCCCTGTATTGTCATTTTTATCGTATCGCCAGACTCTTCCTACAACACACCCCTAACACTCACCTTTTCCATTTAGCAGAAACTTTCAGTGCTGATGTTTCCTTTTTACTGATACTCCTGCTCAATAACCTCAGAACTCTCTGCCTTGTAAAAACCGGTGCAGACACATGACGGGTTTCCCTGAGGATGTGCAGATTATTTCAGAAATGCATAAACAGCTATTTAACAAAGAAAAAACGCTCCAAAGAGAAAACTGTGCGGACAAAAAAGTTATCAGAACTGTGAAAACGTCATACAATGAGACAAGCAGCAAAAACACAGAACAAAAAACTGGGTTTGTTTATTTTAAGAGCTATGAAAATGTTTGTGCAGCCCAAAGCACCGAACAATTAGCCGAGAAATCTAGACCAACCATAGCAGTAGGAAAAGATTTTGCTCTGCAGGTCAGTCTAGCCACACTCCATAGTAACTTCAGCAGGTCTTTGTTATGTGAACTTAAAGTGACCGTGTGCATTTTCCCTGGCGATAGGGGGCCATACACACCTAAATCATTGCAAGCAAGGTGTTTTTTGTGTGCGCGTAAGATCTTACCAACAGATGCCCATTAGGGTCAAAAATCCCTGGGAGTGCAATCTCCAGAAAAATAACAAGCTCATCAGTGGTAACGAGCAAAGAGGTAAATATTTAAAACAACAGCGTTTAGTAGGGGTGCACCGAAAGGAAAACGCTTGGTCGAAACAGAAAACCGAAAATAAAGAAACCAAGCCCGACAAACCCAAATTAATTATTATGTCAATAATTAGAACTATAGTATTCATGGCTATGACGTGTACTAACCTCATTAAATCAAGGCTTTGCAATAAATCAATTAAAAACCATGAAATATTTTTGAACATCTTAGGTGTGTTCTTGCTGTGTCTTTCTAAATCCATGCTTTCGTTCTTTTTTAAACACAGAAACAGTTTTGTTTACCTGTTTGTAGCTACAGTTTCGCCGACGGCTGCCGGCTTCTTCAGGCTGACGCTGATGGTGGCGCGTCACTTCCTTCTCCGTTTATCTGCGGGCAGCAGAGGACGTTGTCGCCCTCTACTGCCCGCTCTCCCCTCTCCGACGATGCAGTCCCATGCGTGGTCCAGCGTGTAAACTCCGTCGTCCCTGTTCATGGTCCCACATCCACGTCTCCTTATCTCGATTGCTTCCTTGATCCATCTTTTGTATTTTTGTTGTTCGGTGGTTATGATCCGTGTGTTGTCCCAGTCCATTATGTGGTTTTCTCTTAAGCAATGATCTGTTACGGCTGACTTTTTTATTGTACTTTTTGCTTCTTCTTTTGCTGCTCTTGTGTGTTTACGATTTGCCTCTTTCTCGCACTCCTTTCTGTGTTCTATTGTCCGTGTATTGAGTTGGCGTCCGGTTTCTCCTATGTATGTTTTATTGCATATTTTGCATGGGATTTCGTAGATGACTCCACATTTTTGTCCAGCTGATATTTTGTCTTTTGGGTGTACTAGTCAGTTTCTAACTGTTGTGTATGGCTTTGTTGGTGTGTTTATGTTGTGTTTTTTCATTGTTGCTCTTATTTTTTCCATTATAACCCTACCATACATCAGAGGCATAACGGAAAAATAAGAGCAACAATGAAAAAACACAACATAAACACACCAACAAAGCCATACACAACAGTTAGAAACTGACTAGTACACCCAAAAGACAAAATATCAGCTGGACAAAAATGTGGAGTCATCTACGAAATCCCATGCAAAATATGCAATAAAACATACATAGGAGAAACCGGACGCCAACTCAACACACGAACAATAGAACACAGAAAGGAGTGCGAGAAAGAGGCAAGTCATAAACACACAAGAGCAGCAAAAGAAGAAGCAAAAAGTACAATAAAAAAGTCAGCCGTAACAGATCATTGCTTAAGAGAAAACCATATAATGGACTGGGACAGCACACGGATCATAACCACTGAACAACAAAAATACAAAAGATGGATCAAGGAAGCAATCGAGATAAGGAGGCGTGGATGTGGGACCATGAACAGGGACGACGGAGTTTACACGCTGGACCACGCATGGGACTGCATCGTCGGAGAGGGGAGAGCGGGCAGTAGAGGGCGACAACGTCCTCTGCTGCCCGCAGATAAACGGAGAAGGAAGTGACGCGCCACCATCAGCGTCAGCCTGAAGAAGCCGGCAGCCGTCGGCGAAACTGTAGCTACAAACAGGTAAACAAAACTGTTTCTGTGTTTAAAAAAGAACGAAAGCATGCATGAAATATTTATTTTGCACTGACATAACAACAATTCAGAATATAAATTTAAATTCAAAATAAAAATTTTCACTTCACGGCGATACAGATTTCAGATATTAATATCACCGTTATGGCCGATAGCCGATATTTGCCAACACGGATATATACTGGCCAGCGTTACCCCTACATAGGCTCAGGCATTAATGCATCTAAAATCAACAGGTTTTGTAGAGAATGAAAATGATTAAAGCTGAATTTACATTATTATTATTATTATTATTACACACCACACACATTTACGCTTCTGACTACAATCACTGTCACATGACTAAACAAATACACACACCCCACCCCCACAACCCCTGAAACAGACAAACAAATGGAAACAAGATGGAAAAAATATTGGTTGTTAATTTCGGCCCCGTTTTATTTATCAGACCGATACATATGTTAAAAAATGACTAACATCGGCCGATACCGATATTTTGTGCATCCCTAATGTAATGGCTTATAACCGAAAGGCCTGCTGTGCTTCTGTCAATGCGCCCCAGGACAGCTGTCGCTACAATGTAGCCCATAACCATCAGCGTTCGAATGTGTGTGCGCATGGGTCAGTGACTGTTATGTTGTAAAGCACCTTGGGGGGTTTGTGAACTCTAGAAGGTGCTGTATAAATACAGGCAATTTAACATTTTACAGAATATTAAAGTAGATTGATACATGGCAAAAAAAATGCTATAAAAAAGCTTTGGCTGCACATTTGTTCACGAACCTGCTCTGGTAAGCTGGCACAGAGTGGAGAGGGGAGACGTTCTCTTCATCACTCACATTTTCTTCATTGCTACGCAGGTCAGTTACAAATGACACGGCTTTTCCCCTTGCAGAACGTTGTTCTTTGGGAACTCCCACTTTTGTGTGCCTCCCTCTGTTTAATTACAAAAGAGAAGATGTACAGGTAATATAGATGTGTTGTAGGGGGAAACCGATATATCATTTGAATGTTTTTACTTTTTTATATATAAATAATTGGCGATTATACCTCTTAAGTAGAGCCGATTAAAAGTCCTGTCTAAGTCTGCTGGTGAAGAATTTTACTTAAATGTATATTTAAATTACTGAAAAACATGTGCTTAAGACAGATACGGAGTTTTCCCCCTTTCAGCACTTATGTGTAATTTTTTTGGGGAATCCGTGAAAGTGATTGTCGTCTTAACCTGTACTGAGATATAATGTAGGCAATACCTCTGTCCCTTAGAGCGCCATGGAATTTGAATTGGCTACTCAACTTTAGAATAGGGTTATCCGCTTAAGTACAGGTGTTAATCACAGAGTGTCCACAAGCATTTGAGGAACACTTTGGGCTGAAAAGTCCTTCACAGACCTGGGAGGGGAGACGTTCTCTTCATCACTCAGATCACCAGCATCACTCTTTTCAGTCAAACACAACAAGGCTTTTCTCTTTGCAGAACGCATTTTTTTGTTAATGCCAGCTATTGTTCGCTTCTTTCTGTGGACAAGAAGGACACACAAGAAACAAGACTGAGTTCTCTTGAGTACTTTGGTGGGTACTTTATCTGTGCTATAATACAGTATACTACTATCAATAATAACAGTAATACTAAGATGACATGTTAAAACAAATATGAGCGATCAATCGTTTTCAGTATGTCAACAACACACTAATGTTTAAAAGTGTTTTCAGATCAGCTTACTTTGTTTTAATGTAAAAACACAATCAAAAACAGCTCAATTGTTGAAACCTGTAATGACTTGACCTTTTCACCTTCTTATATTTATGCTTAATTTTGTTAACATCCTCGAACTTCATAAAGAACAGCATCTAATATTGTTTCAAAGACAATAAATGTGTACAAATACTACAAGTTCAGAGCATGAACACTTTATGTGTTTTGAATTTATAAATGCAATTTGGATTCAGTTTAGTCAAGCTGGTGCAAGAAATAGACTTTATACGCGTATTTAATCGAACTTTTACAGAACCTAATGAACTTAATCAAAGTTTGAGCCATAACGGTGAGATGATGCTGTGAACATACCGGGGCCTCCGCTGTGTGGGCTCAGGCTCCAACGCGGATGTGTCATCCGAACATGGGGTGCTGTCGAAGATCCGTCCACGTTGGTGGTCTTCGGGTAAAATCCAAGCGGTTAACTTCCGCGCCCGCTTACTGTATGTCTTCAAATACAGCGGCTTGGATGGTTGCATGTTTACAATTTTAGCCAACTCGGAAAGGGGTTCAAACTTCAAACGGCCAACTCAGAAAGCTAGCTGAGAATCCGATTCGACTTCGCCAAAAGAAAAACGAGAGAAGCAGCACCCGATAAAAATCTCGTGGGTTCCAGCCACAATGCTAATTTAGTCCACTTGGAGGATATAATGTCGATCTTAACTCATTTAGATAATTTTATTTCTGATTTTCTACCAAAGATACGACGACCAAACACCACCCGCTTCTAGTTCAAATTTAAGAACGCAGATGATTGGTCAACGACTGGTGTTGTAGTTAGCACAGCGCCACCTGGCGGCCTGGAGGTGATAGTTTCTACAGAAACACTAATTCTACCTCCAAACGACTAATAAAACAAAAGTTTTATTTATGTGTTTCACATTCACTTTCATTACAGCCAAATAAAAACTCCGCATGTTTCCTAACAATTTAAGCAAATATAAATCTTGTATTGGTTGCAAATTGTGTGAAATGTGACTGAAAAAAAACCCTGTTAGTTTTGCTAGTCAACTTCCTTTTCACTCCCACAAAAAAAGCAAATACAAAAAATGTGGAATACATATTGATAACACAATATCAAGCTCTGGAAATAATTATAAAACTTATCAATTGAACCTCAAATGAAAACTTTATATTTTTAGGCTCTAGAAAAACGAAAAGTGTTTTGTTTGCAAATGTATTATAAAATAAGGCTCCTAGTGTCTAATTTCTTTATCAGGTGGTCCAAAAAAACTGCAATTGCTGTGACTGAACTTTTTGACTTTATGCCTCCACAGTGCCAATTAATTCTGAACAGAGCAGATTGCTTCACATTTGTGTAGGCTGCACTACTATGTTTATTCTTATCTGGGCTGTATCAGTCATCTGACGCTCGTGTAGTAAAAAGTGACCAAAGCAGAGGTCATGCCTGATGTAGTATTTTATTTTGACCACCAGGGGCCAGTACCGCACCCGAGCATTTTCTGTCCCGTGTCATGAAAACAGTCAAATTTAATTTCCCTGTGCTTGTTGAACGATTTTAAAACGAAAAGTTTATTTAGGATCAAAGGTTTATGCAAAATTAAGAAAAGCAAAAATGCAACCGAAACCGAGACTCTCCATTTATTAGTGTCAGTATGCAGGAGAATGTGACACAGAAACTAAGATTTTAAAAAACTGACAGAGATTGTAATGATACTCTGACGTCTTTGTCAGTATTAAAAGTTAATTGCAGACGCTCTTTCTTTTACAATTGTTTTTGTTTTCCTTGTGGAACAATCAGGTTTGTGAGGATCACATACACTTAATCAATATCAATAATACTTATTAAATTACTATTAGCATCTTAATTAGCCTGGCAAGCCAGACTATATATGTGAATATATAAACAAACTTTGCAAAGCAAGGATTTGGTCTAGTTCACTAGGCTACATCTTAATACCAGTGCTCACAAACCTGTTTTCCTAGTCTTCAGACCAACCTTCACTACATTGTGGGGACATTTATTGGATGGGTGAGCTTTATGATCTGAATGTTAAAACTTGAAGGTGGCATGCATTAGTGTGATGCAGCAGTTGTGGCCTAAATGCATTCGGTTTACATCCACATGTGCAAAGTCATAGTAGTTCTGAATGAAACACAGCTGCATCATCATACTAATGATTTAACCTCCATATCCATGTCACACCCATTTGTAATCCTGATGTTTAATATTTATCTTTTTTTTAGACTATATTGCATTTTCTACCTTTTCGTAAAGAGGAAACCTTGCATTAATTTTTTCGTTCTTCCGGGGACCCATGAGCCGACCAGAAAGGGAGGAGACTTGGACTCCCTAAAGGTGGTCTAGACTTCTAGACAGACAAATAGCTCCAGTGGTGGTATGGGGATCAATGATCCAAATATTACTTACTTTTGTGGAATGTTTAGTAAACATCATTTATTAACAAAATTTACCTAATTTTAGTAAAAAAACGAGGAGGAAACACCAATAGGGCTTGTGATCACACGTGATTATGCATAAGCATTCTGGGATGTGCGCGGCCATGTTGGAAGGCTGACGAGTGTAAACACACCGTGAAACAAACGGTACTGTCGCAGAGAACAAGCAGATTTGGGTGAAAGAAAGTATTAAACATTATAAAATCCCCAAAAGGATGTGGAATATACAAGGATACGTTATATAAAGGCGTCGGGGACCGGTATGTGGACAAAATCAGTGTTATAAATGGTTTTGATCCATGAGAAAGACCCAAGACCAGAGCACCGATGACATATTGTTGCCGCTGCAGGTCTGCATAACGGACATTTTCGGTTTGTTGTTTGTGGTGTGAGCAGATGCCAATGTCGGATGAGAGGTAAACGTTTTATTTGCTGGTTTTTCTAGTAAACTAATCAAAATTGTCATCTCACAGAAGAAGTGTAGCAAGAGGAGTTGTGTTGTGTGTCACTGCACCCGCATTAGCTCATCGGCATGTGAGTGTGTGTGTGTGTTGCGATTGAAGGAAAGAATTGATGTATAAAAAACAGACACCATCTGTAACTTACCAGAATGAAAACACTCCAGAAGATGATGTTTGGTCGCCTTATAGCTGCGATCCAAGCGAGCCGACGAGACTTTGTTATGCTAGATTCTTGGTCTCCGTGGTATTGCCTCCAAGCAGGAAACGGTGAAGTTAGATTGTTTTCCACCTTTATTCCCCTGACGATCACGTGTGTCACCCCACAACACAGCAACAATTTACTAGAGTTGTATAATAAAACCGATCAAATGGATAATAGTTTAATGTAATCTGCAAGAACGAGACTGAGCGTGCTGTTTACAGTAGTAACAAGCAACAATTAAGGACTCACACGCCTCCAACAGGGCGGACGCGTCGGTGATGATGTCACAATCACAAGCCTTATAGACCATAATGTGTGTGTGAGTGTGTGGGAGGGGGGAGAGGGTGCATGCCCCCCTGTCGCACCACAAAACTACGCCCATGACTTGGAATAGGAAGTGGGGAGATTAAAAAAAGAATAATTTGCACTTTCATCTGCAAATAATACCAAAGCACAGTTCTACATTTTTGTCTAGTAACACTTTTCTTTATTGCTGAAATAAAAATCGATATATGACAAGAAAATAGACCAATTTGGGAAATGTTAGAATTGAGAGAAGGGTGGTGGGGAACGGAGCGTTTGTTTCCGGAGCAGCGTCCCTCGGTTTCCCCTACCGGAGACTAGCGGCATCTGGGAGGGAGGAGAAAGAAACAGGCCAAGGGAGAGAAAACAGGGGAGGAGGAGGAGGAGGAAAAAAACGAACAGCAGTGGAGCCCACCGAGGAGGACGTGAACCCGCAGGAGAGGAGGTGAGTGATGTGGTATGTGGAGTATTTTTTCACACGATTGCTGAAAAGTTATCGTTTCCGCGTTTGGCGCTAATTGTAACAACATAAATAAAAGACGAGCGCAACTTTTATTTCTTATTACGACACATGGTCGCGCTGGAATGTGAGGGGCCCGCTGCTGTGTGGCAAACACACCGGGGAAGGTTGTTGGAGAAAGGGCAGGACTGGGGATGGGGTACGTCCACAGGGTCCCGCTGCTCACGCGCTGGAGTCTTTAGGCTACATGTCTCGTGCCTGAGCCGCTGAGAGCTCGTGCCACAAAACGCAGCCCATAGTTAATAAATGAACGTGGAGCTGAAACGTTAGCTACCTCAACCCGAGCACTGACGGAGAAACGGACATAAACAAAGCCTGCGTTTATGAGACCCGGAAACTGTGTTGTCTGAAATAAGAAGCTCACCAGCCGACAGTTTATTATTGGCTTAAAACCAAACACCAGCCGCTACACAAAGCTTTTTAAGTCCTCTGGCTATTCTTACATGCCATATAGGCTATATATCATCATAAAATCTCCAATTAAGATTAAGCTAAGTGAAATTGTATTATGTACACAAGTCTAACAAAAACCTCCGCATTATGCCTGTTAGTTCCAGTTGTAGCATAAACGCACTGTCATTCTTTAAAACTGCTTCATCTAAATAAAAACAAGGTTTGATATAATAATAATAATAATAATAATAATAATAATAATAATAAAAGTATATCAGTAAAATCTCCCAAACAATTTTAGAACTGAAAAAGTTTCTCTGTTTTAATATTCTGATGTATAGGAGTATTTTAAGTTAACGATCTGTAAAGGTGAAAGAGTCATAAAGGTTTTTATTTTAAAATGCTATCTGTGCAGAGTTAATAGTAATCAGTACAGTGTGTGATTTTTTCTGTTGCTTAGCAAAATGACACATTTGAGTGCAAAAGGTGCAAACAGGCATTAGCTACAAAAATTCAACAGTGCACATGCTCTTGTTTTGGAGACAATCCCTTTTTCTGACTTTTGTACTCATCTGACCTATTTTGTATGATTCAGGTTTTTTGATTGAATCTAAATAAACAGAACACTATATGATTATATTGGCCAAACTGTAAAAAATTATCTTTATTTTGTGTGCTACCTGGCAGCTCGTCAACAGGGTCTAAGTGTAAACTCAAGTTCTTACAGTAGTTTTGTTTGATTTTCTATTGATTCCATCTAATGATACAACTGCAGGATGGGTCGTGTCTGCGATCATGCCAAGTCACATGGCCATGATGATAAACTTTTAACCCATTTGGTAAATAATTGTTTCTGAAATAAGAAGGCACAAATACATCCTTTTTCTAAATGAAGGACTTAAGTATATGTATCTGCTCTTGACTCAAAGAGAAGCCCAAGTCTAAATAGTCCAAAGTTGATGCCAAAACTTGATCAAAGAAGCTGCCACCACCTTAGTTGTTTTGCTCCATCGCATCATCCCGCCCACAAAACCGATAGAGCGCTGTGATTGGCAAAACACAAAACTGATTGGGCCAATGATGAGGCTACAAAGGGGCGTGGCTAGATTGACATGCAGAGCAAAATCTTTTAGCTAATGTCTGTCTAGACTTCTAGGCTAATGGTCCGCATCACATCTGAGCAGACATCCACTGTCTTGTCAAGAACATTTCAGCTCTAATGCTCAGTTAAACAAATATCTCAAATCTGTTACTTCAAATACATCTAATTCCTAAGTTATACTTTAGGGTATCTAGTGCTTTTCACCATTTTAAAACAGTTATTTCCCCTTAAATCTAAAACCGACCAATTGGTCAGTTTTTGTACCACGTACAAATGGGTCCTGTTTTCTTGCCCCGTGTAGTACAAGTCATAAAAAGGCTCAGTGTGGCATAAGCAGGGATAAAAGAGTGTATTCTCCTGACGTGCACACAACCGTCTGCTGCTCTGGGCCACGTTGGTCTCTGAGGATGATGCAGAGGCTTGTATTGGTGCTTGGTGCTGGCTGGATGCAGCTAGCTAATCGTTTCCACACTTCCTCTGCTTCTTTCTGCCAGCTCTTTCAGATAATACGCCTGTTTGTTTCATACAAACATGGAGCCTCTTAACAGCTTGTTTATGTATTGTGATTTAAACAACGTAGAAAACTTTCCTGTTTTTCTCCAGGGTTTAGGGAGGGAGCAGATAGGGTTTGCAGATGTTACGTAGAAATTGTTCTCTTCTGAAAATCAGCTCAGTAGGACTAACTTTCACATGTTTTTTTGTGTTTTATTGGTTTATTTTAAGTATAATGTCAGTTTGAAAGAATGTGGATGATGAGATTGTTGACAACAAGAATAATTACCAAAGGGGCAGTTTTTTTAAGGAACATACCACTGAGGTTTCTCACCCCGTCTCTTTTTCCTACTCTAACTCTGACGCATTCATTTTGCATCATATCCTTGCTCTCCTCCCGTTTCCACTTAGAATCTGTTTGTAAGGCACATCTGCTCAAAGGCATTGTGAGTAAAATCTGAAATAATGTCGCCCACTGTAGGTAAAAATTGGCGAGCACATTGTGATGATCAACAGCTCTTAATCACCATTTTAGTCTGCGGTTGTGGTGATTTAGTTTCATTTTTGAAGGTTTGTGCTGTGGCTTTGGTTTGGCGAGTTAATTGGTGCAAACCCACTAAGTTGGACGTGTCACTGGCCTCACCACCAAAGTGGAAATGCCGCACTGTCATCCTCTTCCTGCCCTTTTGTCTCGCCTCCCTTTCTATCCTTCTAGTCTCTCACTCTTAACATAGATCTGTCTCTAGCCTGCAGTGTGTGTGTGTGTGTGTGTGTGTGGAGCTACATGATATCCCTTCTAATTGCTCAAGACTCGTGCTGTTAAAGTTGTTTTTTTTATGTGTTTGCCCCTCTCCCTGTTTCCTGCCCTCTCTTCTGACTTCCTCGTTCCTTCCTTCATCCTGTACCCCATCCCCCTCTTTTTGTGGTGTTTCTGTACAACATCAAGAGTTGCTGAGTGTGGAAAAAGTGACTTGGACATTTTATGGGCTGAGTTTTGGGCCAAGAGTTGCAGTCTGTTCTCCGTGTGCCTGTTTTGTTTAGCTCTGCTCTCAAGAAAATGCCCCAGTTTCAAAATGGCTTCTCCATTGCATAAATGGTTTCTGTCACTTCTCTGATGGACAGAACTAAAGAAGACACTTGTGCATTTTCACAGAGCGTGTACAATTCACACATGCATAGATGAAACCAGCCTGTTTCCCAGATTTTAGACTTTCCCAAATGGTTTCACACATTGGGCAGTTATGGGGACCTAACCCTACACATGTGTGTGTCGGGTAGGAACTTGTTAGCCTGTGTGTGGTAAAAGTCATGTTCAACACCTGATGAGAAAACATAGTTGCAGTTTGCATGTGCACACATGCTTGCTTCTGCCTGGATGTGTGAGTAATCAGAGCGTGGAGATCTGACATCTCCAGACCTTTTGTCTTGGGAAACAATACTGCTGATTTGCCCTCGAACAAATAAGTGTTTGTCCAGGTTTCTGCAATTTCCACCTGACCAATGTTGGATTGAGGATGAGGAGTGAGAGTAGATATAGCTCATACCGACAAGCTGGCAAGATAACCGCACTGCAGATTGTGTCGGTTTGTATGTGTGTGTTGTCAATCTTTTACTCCGCCTCTTCCATTTCTCTTTCTGCCCCTTATTGATGCCTCTCAATAGGGTTATTGTGCCCACTGTCAGGATGGTTGGTGTGTATGTGTGTGTGTTATTTGTTGTTTCAGGGAGCAGACAACCGTGAGGTGTGTTTGGACAGGGCAGGAGCACGGAGGCCCTATTCATCCTGCAGGCTGTGAAAATGAGTCAGATGGACCCGGTTTTCCCTTTCAATCTGTCCCTCTGTCTGTCCCTCTGCCTGTCCCTCTGTCTGTCCCTCTGCCTATCCCTCTGTCTGTCCCTCTGTCTGTCCCTCTGCCTGTCCCTCTGTCTATCCCTCTGTCTGTCCCTCTGCCTATCCCTCTGTCTGTCCCTCTGTCTGTCCCTCTGTCTGTCCCTCTGCCTATCCCTCTGTCTGTCCCTCTGCCTATCCCTCTGTCTGTCCCTCTGTCTGTCCCTCTGTCTGTCCCTCTGCCTGTCCCTCTGTCTATCCCTCTGTCTGTCCCTCTGTCTGTCCCTCTGCCTGTCCCTCTGCCTGTCCCTCTGTCTGTCCCTCTGTCTGTCCCTCTGTCTGTCCTTCTGCCTATCCCTCTGTCTGTCCCCTGTCTGTCCCTCTGCATGTCCCTCTGTCTGTCCCTCTGCCTATCCCTCTGTCTGTCCCTCTGCCTATCCCTCTGCCTGTCCCTCTGCCTGTCCCTCTGTCCCTCTGCCTGTCCCTCTGCCTGTCCCTCTGCCTATCCCTCTGTCTGTCCCTCTGCCTATCCCTCTGTCTGTCCCTCTGCCTGTCCCTCTGTCTGTCCCTCTGCCTATCCCTCTGTCTGTCCCTCTGTCTGTCCCTCTGTCTGTCCCTCTGCCTGTCCCTCTGTCTGTCCCTCTGCCTATCCCTCTGCCTATTCCTCTGTCTGTCCCTCTGCCTGTCCCTCTGTCTGTCCCTCTGCCTATCCCTCTGTCTGTCCCTCTGCCTATCCCTCTGTCTGTCCCTCTGTCTGTCCCTCTGCCTATCCCTCTGTCTGTCCCTCTGTCTGTCCCTCTGCCTATCCCTCTGTCTGTCCCTCTGTCTGCCTTTACTTGACAGATTCTTCACCCACACATACATTCCTAATTCCCTTCCTTTCTGTGTGTGTGTGTGTCAGCTCTTCACTGAGCGTCTGTCTTCTCGCTGTCAGGTCTGTTGTGAGATGAGGTCAAGGATATGTATGCTCTTCTGCCTCAAAGTACCTGTGGAAGCAGCAGGCGTGATTGGGCATCTTCTAAAGTGAAATCACACACGCACGCACGCACGCACGCACACACGCACACACGCACACACACACACACACACACACACACACACACACACACA